GGACTGTTCTGTGTTCATTTTCAATTGTTTCCAGAAACTTTGAACTTTTTCCTTGACCTCATTATTGACCCAGTCATTGTTTAATAGCATGCTATTTAGTCTTCATGAGGTTGAATGCTTTTCAGTTTTTTTCCTTGAGGTTGATTTCTAGTTTCAAGCCCTTGTGGTCTGAGAAAATGCTTGTTATGATTTCATTTTTCTTGAATTTGTTGAGGCTTGTTTTGTGTCCTATCATGTGGTTTATCTTTGAAAATGTTCCATGTGCATTAGAAAATAATGTTCATTTTGCTTCTTTGGGATGAAAGGCTCTATATATGTCACTTAACTCCAGTTGTTCTAATTCATTGTTCAGTTACACAATGTTCTTGTTGATAATAGTTTGGAAGATCTATCCATGGTTGACAGTGGAGTGTTAAAATCCCCTACTATAAGTGTATTCCTGTCTATACCTTTCTTGAAGTCCTCCACGATTTTCCTTACATATTTGAGTGTTCCTATGTTTGATGCACGTAGGATTACCATGTTTATGGCTTCTTGACAGATTTTTCCTTTGAGTATTATGAAATGTCCTTCTGGGGCTCTTTTTATGGCCTTTGTTTTGAAATCTACTTTGTCTGATATAAGTATTGCTACCTTGGCTTTTGTTTCCTGTCCATTTCCCTGGAATATTCTTTTCCACCATTTTACTTTCAGTCTGTATTGGCCCCTTGTTCTGAGGTGCAGCTCTTGTGGGCAGCATTTGTGTGAGTCATGTTTTCTTATCCATTCAGTTACCCTAAGTCTTTTGATCGGAGCATTTAATACATATACATTTAACTTTATTATTGGTAGGCACTTACTCATTTTTTCCCTTTGTACCTGTGTTCCTCTCTTTCTCACTATTTTCTTTATCTCCTTAAAGCAGACCCTTTAGCATATTTTGCAATGCTGGTTTGGTGGGGGTGTATTCTTTTAGCCTTCTTTTGTCTGGGAAACTCCTTATTTCACCTTCCATTTTAATTGAGAGCTTTGCTGGGTAGAGCAGTCTCGGTTGCAAGCCTTTGCTTTTCATGACTTGGACTATTTCTTGCCATTCCCTTCTGGCTTGCAGTGTTTCTTTTGAGAAGTCAGCTGCTAGCTGTATCGGGGATCCCTTATATGTTACTAACTCTTTCTCTCTTGCTTGCTTTAGGATTCTCTGTTTGTCTTTGATATTTACCATCTTAATGATGATGTGCCTTGGAGTGGGCCTCATTGGGTTCCTCTTGAATGGGACCCTCTGTGCTTCCTGAACTTGGGTGATCTTTTCTCGCCTCCAATTAGGGAAGTTTTCCATCACTACTTTTTCAAACAGGTTCTCTATCCCTTGCTCCTCTTCTTATTCTTCTGGTATCGTTCTTATCCAGATATTATTATGTTTCAGGTTTTCCTGCATTTCCCTCAATGCCTCTTCATTCTTTTTGAGTCTTTTTTCCTTTACTTTCTCTTTTTAGAACCTTTTTATTTTTACCTTGTTTTCCAGTTCATGGATTGGATCATCTGTTTCATGTCACCTGTTTTTGATTCCTTCTCATGTGTTCTTCAATTCAGAAATTGTATTCTTATTTCCTCTTGTATCTTATTGATAGTTTCTATGTCCTTTTTCATGCTGATATAGTTTGCAGTATGTTACTCGCAGTTTCCCTATAGTTATTTTGTAATTCTCTCTGAGCTCACTGAGCTCATTAGGCTTCCTTAAAGCCATTGTTTTGAATTCAATATCCGATAGTTTACTTGCGTCTGTTCCATTTATTTCTCTTTCTGGGGATTCCTCCTTTCCCTTTGACTGGGGGTGTTTCTTTTTTTTCCCCATTATTTGTGAGAGTCTTCTCTTTAGGTTCTGTTTCTGAAATTGATTTGTCTCAACTTCCTGACTTTGTGGTATGATATTCTATGTTAGGAGGCCTTTGAGACTGAGTCATGCTGTCTCCATGATCTCCTGAACTTGCTTTTCTTTGTGTGCTTTTTATGCTGATTAAATTGACTCAGTCAGGTTGTGCTAAACGCGATTTTTATGTTTCTCCGAGGTTATGAGACTCCTCTTTTGCTATTTTACAGTTGTTTATTCCAGGTGATTTGTCCACATTTTAGTTGTAATTTCAGATTGGTCCTTGGAGGAGGGCAGTTTGACTTCTTTCACTCCTCCACCATCTTACCTCCTCCTCTGTCCCATAATATTTTTCTTTTTCTTTACAGTTTTTAAAGATGTAAAAAGAAGCCACAGGTCAAGGGTCACCTGAGCCAGTTTGCCACCCTCTGGTCTCAGAGATATCTACAAAATTATCTCTATCTTTGCTGTTAGTACACATCTTCAACACTTAAGAGTCCAGTGTGTTTTGCTAACAGAGAAAACAGTACGAAGTATGCCTCAACCATCTGTCGACCAGAATTTTACTGTGTTAGTGGCAGATACCAGGTAATGTCTGCTAGATGTTGTCCTCTTGGGGGAAAGTCAACGTCCCTATACTTAAGGGGAAGTCTGGATTAGTATTGGGGGTAAAGCTATACTTTGGGGACTGAAGTGTTGAATGAGGAATGATTTTTTTTAGCTCAAAAATTATAGATATATTAAAAGAGCAATGTGATCCCAGAAGCATAAACCAGTTTCTCTTCTAATACTTTGTATTTCTCTTTATTATTGTGGCCACTACTTTCATCAAAGAAGTGTCGAATAATATTTCCTCAGGATTCAGCAGGGTTAGTAAGGTTCCAGTTAGTAAAATACATGTCCATGTTCCTATTTAGGCAGGGGAGGTTAAGGGACCAGATTAGGTCTTACCTTTGTCCTTTTACTCTCAGATATTCATTATCTCAAGATTTCTTTTCTTCCTGTTAGTGGTAGCATTTCCTTTATTTTCTGGACATTCGCTTTTATAACTCATGTGATTTGCTCTCCTATCCTGTTGCCATCACGGTGTTTGAAGGCCTTTGTTACTCAAATAGCTTACCCTATGTTGGTAACAATTTTTCCCCCTCCCTGCTGCATATTGGTTTCGTTCTTAGACCTCAAGGTTCTTTATGACAATTTGGGGCTTGTGCTGCATATGTGTGTCTCACTTTCTGACATATATAACCACACTCACAACTTGATTACTGAAGATGGTGTGATCTTTCAGTAAAATGTCAATTAACACAGCCTTGGATCTGCATAATAGTGTGGTTTTTACTTTAATATATTACATCAGTACCCTTATTAGCTTAGATTATTTTAAGTGAAGTTGAAAATGGCTTTGAAATGTGTTATTTTTCTCTTTCCAGCCACTTATAAATGCAGCCTTACAAGGGCATGGTATCTCTTGGAAATCCCTTGGATAGAAACATTTGATTCCAAGCTGGATAAATGGAATTAAAGTGGTGACACCAGATCCAAAAAAAATGCTTTATCAATTCGAGAATCAAGGGTATTGATGTGCAGGGAGAGGGAGGAAGGGTACAAACTATATCAGTGTAGAGTAAGGTTTTTCAACTGTTTTTCATTGTTGATAGTTCAGGACACATTATTCCATGATGTTGGAGAGGTGGTAGTCCTGTGCCAGTAGCACACCTCCAGTTTGTGATAACAAAAAATGTGAATAGTAACTGTCAAAAGTCCTCTGAGGGCAAAAGGTCACCCCTGGTTAAGAAACATTGGTATATACCAAGCTTGCCAAGCACTTTTGGCCATTGTAGTACTTCCATGATCCTATGTAAGCTTTCCAAATATTGCATTTCCCAATATTGTCTGATGTGGGAACATATCAAATAACCCAAGTGTGTACTTGCTCTGAAATTTACTATTCTTCTAACAATCTTGTCAACTCTAAAATATCATTAAAAAAATAACCCTAAGTAGTGTAACATGTGCTCACCATTCTGTAAGTGTTATTATTCTTTAGATTTTTAATGTTGTGGTTCTGTCATATTGGGAAATGCCCTGTCTGGTTTCAGGAACTGTAGCCCCACTGACAGGTGAGAGTGCCCCAAGGCTGGAACTAATCAAGGAGGCCTTGGGAAAACAAACCACTGAGGAGACAAAACCTGTCCCCCTGGCAGGGGTTCAGCCCCTGCCTTCCTCACATCACTCTGCTAGGCACTGGGAGATGGATCATAATCAATGATGGGTAAGATCCCTCAATGGAAGGGACAACCTAAGACAAGTACAGCTGCAAATGTGCACCAGGGAAAAAAACTTGGGGGACACAGAAAAAGGGCAAAAAGACCTGCACTCCTTCGCTCAGCTTAGATATGGCCAGGGTTGTCATTCTATCTGAAAGAATTCTTCTTATCCCTTGGCAGCTCCCTCCCCCTGCCTGACTCAGGCTTGAAACAATACTGGAGGCAGCCCTAAACTGGATCTGGTGGTTCCCAGGGAAAATCAGGCCTACAAGTAAATACTTTAAAGCATGCTTTGTTTTTTCTTCAAAAGCTATGATAACCAGTTCATGCTGGGAAGGAAATTTACATTATTCACAGACCCTAATGAAAAACCCATTGGTGCTATTATATTTATGCTCATATGTTTACTAGTCTCTTCTCAGAACCATGTAAATTGGTGTGTTCCTGCCATTTTTTTCTTCAAAACATCATATATTCTCTGTAAACATTAACATACTGCTGCGATGAGAACATCTGTACATTACTATTACCTAGTCCCAGTGATAACACTTTCAATAAAAGCCTTTGGACCAAGGGGCTTGGATACCTTCTCCACTAGAGGGAAGAGCCATTCCCCTCTCCTGGCAAAAAGAAGTGTTTGCATTGGCTAGCACTTATTCCCCCATCCTTGACAACCCCAGGACAGGCTCTGCGGGATCAGAGCCCATATTCCCACCTCAGTTGGCCCCAGACAGTGATCCTCAGATCCAGGAGTCCTGGAGTCCCTCAAACACTGCCAGGATAGACCCCTGAATTAGATGCTTAATCAGATAACCAGAGAGCACAAAAAAGACACTTGGATGGAAGCAAAGCCATTTGAAATAATATACAAAGATCTGGCAGCATACAAGTGGTCCAAGAAGTCCACGATAGCCATCAGGGCCAGGAAATCCAACAGATCCTTGAGTTCCATTACAGTCATCCAGGTCTCGTGGCCCTCTGGGCCCATGCTGTCCAGGGTGGCCCTGTTCAAAGAGGAAAGAAGAGATCAAGTCAGGGACATAACTTTCAGCTGCTGTCTGATTAGCTCCACAATGAGAGAAGCCAAGTATGCTGCCAAACTCTGGCTCTTTGTTCATTCCCTTAGCCCCATCACCAATGCTCTCATAGATTTCCTTTATACTCAGGTAAATGTTGCTGATAACAGTTCAGTGTTACCCCTCCCCAAAAGATAATGATTTAGGGAGAATCAAGATGGTGGTGGAGTGAGAGGAAGTCACATTGACCTCCTACCAGGGACACTCAGGAATTACAACTAAATTGTGGAAAAAGCACTGCGAAAAAACAACTGAACAATAGCGAGAGAGGAGCCTTTTAACCACAGAGAGACAGAGGAATCAGCTTTAGTTCAACCAAACTGCCATTTACCCTAGTCTCCGGCAAATGAGGGGCAGAGTGGGGAAATGACACCTGAAGCAGAGACTGGGGAAGGAGGCTTTGGGTAGAGAACAGAGAGAAGCCGGTGGGATCCCTGTGATGATTCCACCCCCATATGGCTGCAGCCATCTGGCTCAGGCAGACCAATCCCCTGAGTGGCAGCAGCATGAGAGGACCCAATAACCACACCCCCAGGAGGAACTCTGCACTGCAATGTGGTGTCTAAGCTAGGCTGCTGAGTGTAGAGTGACTAGATTAAGAGCAGTACGACACAGGCACAGACAGTGGATTTCTGGAAGTCTCAAACAGAGACTAAAGTTAGACAGGATCAACAGCCGACATCATTACAGGCAGATCCAGAAAGAAACAACAGCAGTCTCCTACCATAGAAATTCATACCACAAAGTCAGGAAGTTGAGACAGTTCAATTTAAGAAACAGAAGCAAAAAAGGAGAATCTCACAAATAATGGGAAGACAAAGAAATACGCCCCACTCAAAGGAAAAGGAGGAATCCCCACAAAGAGAACTATATGAAATAGAGGCAAGAAAACTATCAGATATTGAGTTCAAAATAACAGCTATAACGAAGCTCAATGAGCTCAGTGAGCTCAGAGAGAATTACAAAAAACTACGAGGAAACAACAAGGAATTTACTGCAATCTATATCACCATGAAAAAGGACATAGAAACTATCAATAAGAGACAAGAGGAAATGAAGAATTCAATTTCTTAATTGGAGAACAGAGTAGAAGGAATCCAAAGAAGGCTAGATGAAGCTGAGGATTAAATTAGTGAGCTGGAGGACAAGGTAGAAAAAAGCTCCCAGAAAGAGCAAGAAAATGGAAAAAGACTCAAAAAGAATGAAGAGGCATTGAGGGAAATGCAGGACAACCTGAAATGTATTATTATCCAGATCATAGGGTTACCAGAAGAATAAGGCGAGGAGCAAAGGATAGAGAACCTGTTAGAAATAGTCATGATGGAAAACTTCCCTAATTGGAGGAGAGAAAAAGTCACAAATTCCAGGAAGCACAGAGGGTCCCATTCAAGAGGAACCCAATGAGGCCCACTCCAAGGCACATCATCATTAAGATGGTAAATATCAAAGACAAACAGAGAATCCTAAAGCAAGCAAGAGAGAAAGAGTTAGTAACATATAAGGGATCTCCGATACAGCTAGCAGTTGACTTCTCAACAGAAACACTGCACGCCAGAAGGGAATGGCAAGAAATAGTCCAAGTTATGAAAAGCAAAGGCTTGCAGCCGAGACTGCTCTACCCAGCAAGGCTCTTAATTAAAATGGAAGGTGAAATAAGGAGTTTCCCAGACAAAAGACTGCTAAAAGAATACACTATCACCAAACCAGCATTGCAAGATACGCTAAAGGGACTGGTTTAAGAAGATGAAGAAAAAGAGTATCCATACCCAATTACTTTCACAGTCCGCAACACTTGATACTACCAATATTTTTAATACTTATTAATCTGTTCTGACAATGATGTGTTATTTTAACTGTTACTTTAATGTTTGTTGAAACTAAATGTGTTTTTGTATATTTATTGCCTATTTCTATTATATTTAAAAAGCAATAAATGACTTTTTGGTATTCTTTATCCATTTTTAAATTTTTTTTAATTTTTATTTTAAAATCATGTTTATTCTATTACAGTTGTCTCAATTTTTCCCCCTTTATCCATTTTTTGATTAAATATTTGTATAATTATTTCCTGCCCAAAAATACCCCCCCCAAAACTATTAACCCTTTTTCAGATGTGTTGTAAATACTTTCCTATTCTATTACTTGTCTTTTTTTTATGTGTATATTACTGTATAGTCTTAAATGTTTTATATAGTCATCTTGTCAATATTTTACTTTATAGCTTCTGTGTTTGAGTATTTTACCTCAGGGTGAGAAAAATATTAGTTTGTATTTTCTCCTAAAACTACTTAGATTTCACATATTGATTTTTAATTCACCTGAATATTTTTTGTATAATGTGTGAAATAGGGCTCTATATTTGTTTTGTTTCAAGTAATAGTGGTCCATGCACCTTTTTTGTTGAATAAGCCTTATTTTACCCATTGATTTGAAATATCAATTTAATCATAATTATATTGTAAGATATATACATTTGTTTCTAGAATGCTCATTTTATTTCGTTGATCTACTTGATTATTTCTGTGCTGGTGTCACGTTGTTTTAATTGCTGAGACTTTATAATGGATTTAAATTTTTTAATATTTTATAATGGATTTTGAAATTTAAAAAAATAAGTAAAATAAATCTGCATTTAAAAAAAGAAAGAAGGAACTCCTATCTTTTGCGACAACATGGATGGAACTGGCGAATATTATGCTGAGTGAAATAAGCCAGTTGGTGAAATACAAATACCATATGATTTGACCTGTAAGTGGAATCTATTCAACAAAATTAACTAACAAACAAAATAAACCACAGGCATGGAAACATGGAGCATACTGATAGTGACCAGAGTGGATGGGGAAGGAGGACAATGGTGGAAAGAAGGAGAAGGGACTAGACAAAGAACAAGTATGAATGACCCACGGACATGGACAACAGAGTGGGAATTGATTGTGGGAGAGGGAGGCAGCATGGGATGGGTGGAGTAGGGAAAAGGGGGGAAAATTGAGACAACTGTAATAGAATAAACATGATTTGAAAGTAAAGAAAATGTTTAGAAATCAGTGATTTAATAGGATTCAAGCTGAAACCAAAGGTATCAAGCATGAAGAGATGGCAAGTGTTGCAACTTCACCATCCCTGGGAACAAAAATTTTACTCAGATGGGACTTAGTTATCCACAAGCTGAACCACTAACAACATGAAATCATTCCAGGCATTAAGATTCCTCAGAACAGACTGGAACCTGGGAACCCTGTCATGGTTTTCTGTATTGAAAACTTTGAATGAGAAATGATATTGATTTTTTAATGCATATTTTACTGATTATGTCATTACAGTCATCCCACTGTTTCTCCCCTTTATTCCCCTCCACCTTGCACCCCATCTCCCACAAGCATTCCCCTCCCTTAATTCATGTCCTTGGGTCATGCATGTAAGTTCTTTGGCTTCTCCATTTCCTATACTATTCTTAAACTCCCCTGTCTATTTTGCACCTACCAATTGTACTTCTTATTCCCTGTACCTTTTCCCCCATTCTCTCCTCTCCTCCTCCCCGCTGATCTCCCTCCACATGATCTCCATTTCTGTGATTCTATTCCTGTTCTAGTTCTTTGCTTAGTTTGTTTTTGTATTTTAGGCTCAGTTGTTGATAGTTGTTGAGTTTATTGCCATTTTACTGTTCATAGTTTCAATCTTCTTTTTCTTAGATAAGTCCCTATAACACTTCATATAGTAAGGGCATGGTAATGATGAATTCTTTTAACTTTATCTTATCTGGGAAGCACTTTACCTTCCCTTCCATTCTAAACGATAGCTTTTCTGGATAGAGTAATCTTGGATGCAGGTCCTTGCCTTTCATGACTTTGAATACTTTCCAGCTCCTTCTTGCCTTGTAAGGTTTCTTTTGAGAAATCAACCGATAGTCTTTTCTTTTTTTTTTAAAGATTTTATTTATCTATTTTAAGAGAGAGTGGAAGGGAGGGAGAAAAAGAGGAAGAGAAACATACATGAGACAAATATCAACTGGTTGCCTTTCACACACACGCCTCCAACCAGGGACCCAGTCTGCAACTCAGGCATGTGCCTTGACTAGGAATCGAATTGGTGACCTTTTGGTCCACAGGCCAGTGCTCAATCTACTGAGCCACACCATCCAGCGCTCAAAATCTATTTATTTATTTAGTTATTTATTAATTAAATACATTTGTCTCTGCCTCCCCCCACCACTTTCCCTTGCCCCCTCCTTCCTTCCCTCCCTCAGCTCTTCCCCTTTAGTTTTTTTGTCCATGAGTCCTTGCTATATGTTCTTTGACTTTCCCCTTCCCTTCCCTTTCCCTGCCCCCCCCTTCCTCCCCTCTTGTCTCTGTTGATTTCTTTTCCTTTCAGTGTTGCTGGTCATATTTTCCTTGCACCTTTGTATTGTTGGTTAGGTTCCGCTTATAGGTGAGATCATATGGTATTTGTCTTTTGCCCCCTGACTTATTTGGTTAGCATGATGCTCTCCAGTTCCATCCATGCTGTCGCGAAGTTTAGTAGTTCTTTTTTTCTTCCTGCTGTGTAGTATTCCATTGTGTATATGTACCATAATTTTTTGATCCAATCATCTACTGATCAGCCGATAGTCTTATGGGAACTCCTTTGTAAGTAACTGTCTCTTTTTCTCTTGCTGCTTTTAAAATTCCCTCTTTATCTTTCATCTTGGGTAATTTAATTATGATGTATCTTGTTGTGTGCTTCTTTGGCTCCAACTTCTTTGGGACTCTCCGAGCTTCCTGGATCTCCTGGAAGTCTATTTCCTTGGCCAGATTGGGGAAGTTCTCCTTCATTCTTTTTTCAAATAAGCTTTCAATTTCTTGCTCTTCCTCTTCTCCTTCTGGTACTCCTATGATTTGGATGTTGGAAAGTTTAAAGTTGTCCCACAGGTTCCTAAGCCTCTCCTCATT